TCCATCTGTCCCGTTCTTGACAGATCTGGGATCCAAAGGAAGTTCTGATCCTGTCCGGTCAAACTGATCACTAGAACGGTGACCACAACAGCATGAAGGAACCCAATGAACAACCTGCAGAGAGCTGGGACCTAAGGAACAAAGACTACTATCGGTAACACTGCGCCCAGAGGTTCTCACATCTTGCAGGATCAGGTGTGTCTCCCTGCTGAAGACTCTACATGTCCAGGCCCATCTGAAGCTGGCCAGAGAGCAGGTGGATGATCCAGTAGAGGATTGGGAGTAATTATCACGCCAAAATAGAACATTTTGGTAAAAACTCAACTCATTTTCTGGAGAAGACGAATGCTGAGTTGTATTCCAAGAACACCACAACTACCGTGAGGCATGAAGGTGGACAGATCATGCTGTGGGACTGTTTATCTGCAAAACAAGACATGAAGATTGATCTGTGCTAAGGAAGGAATGAAGATGGCATGAATGGGGAGATTTAAAGTCAAAACTGAGAGCGTTAAAGGTGGAAGGTGCTTGAGTCAGCATTAAAGAAAAGAAGGAGCATCCGCTATAAAGCACTTCTAAGGTCCTGGAGAGGCCAAGCTATCCTGCAGATATTTAAACATATGTACTGTAGAACATTTGTAGGGAGTTGAAAGTCACTGTTGTTCAATGTAACAATTATCAATTTTCCACCATCATTTAGAATTAGCCCAAATTCTTTAAAAACCTTTAAAAGTTCACACATTTTTTATTCTGTCTCTTACAGTTGAACTCTAGCTGTGATGATAATAACAGACGTTCTGGTCGTTCTGAGAAGGAAACTTTCACAATCAGAGGCTGCCCTGCAAAAGTTATCTAGAAATAAGTACGAATTTTTTATTAGGTGTATTTAGCCTTAATTTGAGCAGGTAAATATGATTATTTGTCAATGGAAGTTGGGTTTTTTTACTCTTATAACATAATTAGAAAATATGCATTTAAAATAAGACAATGATTTTTTTCTTATTTTAAGTGTAAATTATCTTGCTCCATTGGCAAAGTGCCTCACTTACGACCTAATTCAAGAAAAAAACATATATTTAAGAACAAATGGCTTTTTGAGCTTTACATTTTTTGCTGTGTCTTTTTATTGTAGCCTGTTAATACCAAATAATTGTTACCAAAGCGTTGTTAGAAACCCAAATAAAAATGGTAGGCTTAATCAAAATTGGAGTTCTTGATTAAGATAAATGCATGCTGTGTAAATACATTCATAATGAAATATTTTCTCAATAACTGGGATAACATTGTGGTGTGTTCGTGTGTAACCCAGTGACACATTTTAGCAGCATTTGGTGCCTGGCAGGCGGTCATTACTGACTCCCCACAACAGTTGGTGGTTTAGAAGGGTCCTCAATCTGCACACTGTGAACAGACTCCACTGTATTCATTACATGAAGCTGCTTACTGCTAACAATCACCAAACATGAGAATATTCACGTTCTGTTAGTTCTTTCATACAGTTAAACCAGAAGCATGATGAAATCAGCCATAGCAGCTATTGTCTAAAGTGTTGTTTTTTTCCTGTGTTTCTGTCTGGGGATATCACACCAAATATTACAGGAATATGATTTAAAATGTTTTTCATTTTGTTTTTAATGGGGAGGATTTGGAGCTTAATTGCTAAACATGCATGTGTCCAGATTTTGGTTCTTTGTCACAAACACTGTTTCATTGTGTTATTTAAATTTAGGCTCATGGAATTGGTCAATTCGTTTCCAGGATGGTTTAAATCTGGTCCGAAAACATCAGTTCTATTATGTTTGACCTGCTTGGTGATCTCGGTGCATCCTAATGCTGGAAATTCAAAGATCAAAACCAGTTTATACCTGGATCCTTGAGAGGTGGAAGGAAGATCTCTTCCTTAGACAAGGAGCAACCCAACATAAAGATTAATGGGGATGTGTCCGGGGGTTTTCTTTAAAGTCAGATAATGGAACCCTTTAGAAGAACTAATGGCAGGTCAGCGTGAGCGAACAAACCCAGCCAAGAGGAGTCAGAGACAGCCTGACAGAGCAATCGGATTCTATCACCAATCAACTGATCTCAGAGTAAATTTGTTCTGATAATACTGGAGATTATATACATGCTGAAATCTTTTATAGTCTATGACAGGGGTCTACAACATTTTCCAGGCCAAGGACCCCAAAACTGATGGCGAGATGGAGCGGGGACCCCCTAATTATATATATTGTATGAAATTGTTTTATGTCAAACTGGTCCTATAGTCACTCTATTTCATGGAGTAATGTAACGAGAGTAATTTCGCTTTGGGATTATAAAAGTATTTCTAATTCTGGTTCCTGGTTGATGGGACAGGTGTTGTGAATGAAACGGTGTCCAGCTTGAAAGAGCTCCTGTGTGTCGCTGAATGTGAGCATTGATGAAAGACATCTTCTGCCTTCATTTATCTGTTTACTACAGTGTTGAATTCATGTTAATATGTATTTAAACACATTTCAATTAGTGGAAAAAATTGCAGGAGGGAATATAAAAAAAAAATCTAATCAACCAAAACTTTTGCGACCCCCATGCAGTACCTCCATGGACCCCCTAGGGGTCATGGACCCCCTGTTGAAGACCTCCGGTTTATAAGATTTGGTTCAAAAGGCTTTAGTATAGGCTTACTCGAGTCTGAAAAAACATATTTTCCTCGTTTCTGTCTTGTTTTGTTGGCCTTGAAAATTTTAGTTGAGGTCAATTTGAGACCCCGATGTTTTTATCAAAATAAAGGCACGATTTTTGCCACAAATAAAAAAAAGATAAGCAATTTAGATTTTAGACGTTTCAGTCTTTTTTTCATCCTGAGCACTAAATATTAAACCTTTAATTAAAAGTCTCATTTTGACTCTTCATTTTTATCCTGAAAATTAGTAAAAATATTTTTATTTTGCTTTTAAGAAGAGAAAATTCTGGTAAACCTTTTTAACCAATTAGTTTGCAACATAGGCTGATTAACTTGGTTCAGAGATTGCTTATTGATTCTTGATTGCATTAAATAAGATATTTGTTATTTTTTTAATGAATTTGTACTACATAGTTTGAGGTAAACAATCTAATTAAATCAATTTTGCGCAATAATAATTTTTTTGGGGGGAAAAAACAATGTCCAGGAATAGAGGTCTTATTCTAAAGTTACTTTTTTGGTCTTGGTCTCTGAGGAACCTGCCTGGACTCCATATCTACTGTATAAAGATGTAGGGAAATCCCTCTGCTGTCAAAACTGAACAAGCTCTGCCCTGGTGGATAGAAACAGTCAGGGCATGCTGAGGTATATGAAAAAAAGGTCTATGTAAAACTGAACTGCTTATTGAATTTTTGTTAAAAAGCACAAATAATATTGCAACTTTGAGGGTTGAAAGACAGTTTAACTCTTAAAATACTGAGAACATAGATCTTTTTTACATGCAAACATATTGATCCATTTGTTGTCTTTTTAAGATCCGTATAACTTTAAAATCTAAACATTGATAGATATTAGGTCTATTTGGGGCACATCAACGGCAATAATCAGCCCCAAATAGACCTGATGCGCTGAAATGGCAGAGAGCTCACCTTGATTAAAGATATCTGGTTCAGAATCTGGGAGATAATGTTAATAGAAAAAAAATAATTCTAATAGTTGCTTAGAATTACAGAAAGCAGCTGCTTTCCAACCGGGCTCACTTCTTGGAAATTGGCCCCAATTAACATCATACACGTTAGCAGATGAGGGGACATCCATGACTCCAGCCGTATCAAAATATTACACTTTGTTGTTAACCGAAGGACACCGCTCTTATTGCATTCCCAAATATTTGCAGTACGTACAGAATAAAGATTATAACTGAGAAACTGTCTTAATTAGATAAACTATTTGAGAAAACATTAGTTCTGACACGCAACAGGCAGCTTAAGGTGTAATAAACTCACACATGATAAATGATAATCATCCTAACAATGTGAAGAACGGCCTCAATATATGTTTAGAAAAATACTGTCAAAACATTGAAAATAGGACATTTTTACCGCGAGACGAGAAACTTTAATTTATTCATTTTATTTGAACTAGTTTAAAGTTCCACAGATGAAGTCTGTTCTTAGCTTTACACTTTCCCGTCTGCCATCTTGTTTTGCTTGCATCTTTTACAGGTGAGATTTAGCTGCACTTTGAATCAGGCCAACTCCCATAGCAAACGCTTTTTTTATGTGAAATAAAGAGGAAAACAATCTTTTCAATCAGAGATATGGTTTTATATATTTACATACATAAATCAAGGACAGCGCTATGGCCAAAGCTACCTGTTGGGCTCTTTCTGGCATTAAGACAATTGTTAATGAAACATTGCTAGACAGGACAAAAATAAATAAATAAATCAGATTTTATTTTCAAGCCATTTTGCTGAGCCCTACTTTTATTTAACCCAATTACATTAGCTTGGAACCATGCTTCATTTTTAGCACTTAAGGCCTGAATTCTAATTTCCATCTTTACTTTATTTTCCAGTGTCCATGTTTGTCTGGCAGTTTTAACCAAAAATGTGGATTCCAACAATTTAACACCAACTTTACCACACTTTAGTTTTGCTAAATTGTAATAAGAGGATGATATTGAATATCCATGAATCTATAGAGAGCAGATCATCTGTTACTGTTCTTATATACTAATTCTAACTGAAAGGTTTTTAATAAGTTATGAAAACATATTTAATATTACACCGACGCATTGAATAAGAGTTTTAAAGCGGAGTCCTTCAAATGTTTACCAGCTGCCTTGCACAGCCTTTCTGGGCCTGAATTTGTCATATAACCTTTAATTTTTTTTGCGTTATCGATGAGAAATATAAAATAAAAATGGACTTTGCTTCTCTATCATGATATACCCCAAATATTCATCTTTCACAGCTTCAGAAGAACCCACCGCTGTGGAGAACATCTGGACTGACATCATTAGCTTGTAACAACAGCAACGCAGCAGATGCAGGTTAAGAAGATCAATGAGTGCGCTGCTTTATTTTATTATTTTCTTACCAAAGTTAAGCTGAGCTTTACTGTACAAGTTAAGTTATGCTTGATTTTTTTTTATCTCATTTTAAAATGAGTACATCTCTTTAATCTTAACAAAAATATGTAACATTCATTTATAGTCACACAGAAAGATAAAACATTGAGACATGAAAGGTTTTAATGGGTTTTCCCTCCAGCTGGTGTTTCTGTTCCTGACAGCATTGGGTCGGGTTTAGAGAAGGTCCAAGGTAAATGTGCTCCTAAGGGTCCGAGGTCAGGCCTGAACATCGATGAGCTTCCTCTTGCGGTAGTTCAGGACCAGGCTGGAGGCTGTGAGCTGCGAGGCCTGACCCTTCTCCCAGCTCTGAAAGCCGTTCAGGCCGTTCTGACCGGACCTGAACAGAACCTTCTCCAAGCAGTCCAGCCGTCCCACCAGAGCAGATGTGTCTTCATTGTAGGCATTCTGAGAGGAGTCCATTGTTCTTCTAAAGCGGCCGATGAACGTCTGGAGGGAGGGCAGAGTAAGAAGGTCATCTTTAGGGCAGAGGGAGGTGCAAGAACATTGCATCAAGAGAATTTTAATTGAAGGGATGTTTCTTAATGTTGTCAATCAGTCACAGCAAGTCAACCAGTGACCTGAAAAATGCTGAGAGGAGTGGTGATACCCTGAAGTAAAATAAAAATCATTAAATCAGGATGTCCTTCAGGTCTGTAATGCCTCAGTAACAGAAAGCCAAAAAAGTGTGCAAAACAGTTATTAAAACAAATGTTGCAATATAATATTGAAAAAGTTGACAACACAATTCTTTATACTTTTTGCTCAATTTTTATTGTATCTACATTTGTATTTGTATGTAAAATGTAGAAAGTGGTCAAAAATAAAGAAAAGCAATCAGTGTTATTTTTTCAATAAGCAGTGTTGACAGCTTTGCTGTGAGGTTGCTGCTCCCTCTAGTGGTGATAGTGGTCAATATCCCTAATTTCTGTTGTTTATTAGTTGTAAGAAGCAGAAAAACATTAAACATGCTAAACTCTAATTATATTTAGGTTTCTTTCGCTTTACTGTACTAAAGGACAAATATTTTAATGTCATGAAACACGGTCAGCAAGAGACCTCCTGGGTTTTTTCCAGCAGCGAAACATTTTGAGTGCTGCACAGAAAAGAAGAAAATTGCATTGCAGTATAAAAAGTTATTTACATAATTAATCAACACAAATAATTTAAGCGAATAAAAAAAACATAAAAATAGTAATTGAATGGGGACCTGTAAGAGAACAGGAACAGGGAGGACCTACGCCAAAACCCACACAATGTCCACAAACAGCCTTCGCTAAATGCAAGCGGCTAGGATGCATGTAGGTTACAGCTATGCAGCTGAATTAATATGATAGCAATATCCCAATTATTTGAGTAAAGTGTCATTCTAAAGGGGCTTTGCTACTCCGCATGTGGAAGTACTGAGAAATGTGTTTATCTGGAAAGAGTTGAGAGATGTAGATGAAAAAAATAGCTTAATTGCAGTGGGGTAGGTCCCTATAAGATTTTAACTTCTCCATTTTAGCAGCTTTGCTGTTTCAGATTGTATATTTGCTTATTATGGTTAATTTCATCAATTGTATTTTATCAAATAAATAAAATACATGAAATAAAAATATATATATCTGTACGCCAATTTATTGAATCCTAAATTGTTCCCATTAGCTTCCGACCCTCAGAATAGTTTTAATTTAGTGTGAGAGAGCATAAGCCATTTAGGTGAAAAGAGTGTACAGCCTTGGAAGAACGTCAACAGGCATGGCGCCTCCCAATGGTTGAAGAAGGCATCTGCTTTGCCAATGGAAAGAATAGTATTTATATCAGGAAATCAATACCTTTTTGAAAAGATCTGAGATGCTTTTACTAATTTTATTAAGAACTTGTGCCGGGACTGATGGACTCCTGGTTTGCTGGAACCTGCAGAGCGACATCGTGAACAGACACCTATGGTTGTATCCAATTAATCCTGCTGCTTTGAGAAGCTGAGTGCTTTACTTTTTATATGGGATGGGCTTTTTTTTTTTTTTATTCATTTTACTTTTAGTTCTTTTTTTTTTTTTTCTTATTCTTCAATATGGATAGGATGTAGCCCAAAATTGACTTATAGCTTTATTTTACTGTTATGCAGTAATTATAACTGGGAAATTATTGTTTTCAACTGAAAAATGTTAAAGCTGGACAAAAATAAGTAGTCATTGAAAATAGCAGTTTTATTATCCATTTCTGATACTTTGAAAAATAATAAACTCAAATATATTTTCATATGCTGATATCAAATAGATTTTTAAAAACGCGGTATCGATCTATTTTACTTTCAAAATCTCGTGAAATTTCATCGTTCTGTTACAAACTCTCGTGATATTTTGCAAATTCTTGTGAGGTTTTGTTAGTAAAATAGATCGATACCGCGTCAATATATCAACATATAAAAATATGGCAACATTTCGTGAATTTTTGGGGGATTTCGTAGCATAACGATAATGATTTCGTAGCAATATATATGCATATGAAGATATTGTGATGTTTTAATGTATCAATATTTAATAGTTTTTAATTCTGTAAAAAAAAAAGTTTTTGAGGAAGAAGAAGTAGTATTTTTTTTTTTTTTAGACTTTAGAAACTCAGAAGCTGATCAAATATCGGGTTAAATATTGGTGGGGTTGCCGATGTCCGATATTCAGTTTTAAGGCCGATACCGATAGGGGGCCGATTATATCGTGCATCCCTATACTTTAGTACAAAAAAAATTAAAATGATAAGATTATCAAAACAATAAAAATAATTTTCTTCCCAATTTTCTTAAGAATAAAATTAAAGGACACAAAACTTCATTTTAAATAGCAGTCAAAGGCCACTCTAAAGCAACATTTTACCGTTTTCTGAGAGATTATTACAGATTATTGGAACATAGGAACTAAAAGCTAGTTCTCCAGGTTTGGCTTAGATTCTGTCGGGACATTTTAACCCAGTAGACCTGAGAGGTCTGGCTGTTGATCCACTGACAACAAGTCTAATGTATTTTGGAGCGAAGCTATTCAGTGATTTCTAGATGAACAGAAGGACTTAAGTCGATTCTCTGAGATACGAGGAGCCAGAGGAAGGAATTTATGACTGGACTGATCTCCTCGACTTTCTTAGGTTTAGTTAGGATGCAGGCAGCAGGATTCTGGATCAGTTGCATCTGTCTGATCCACTTTCTAGGCCGATCTGTGAAGGCACCGCTGCAGGGATCAATTTTACTAAATATTAACGAAGCAGGAATTAGTTTATCAAAGTCCAGAGACATTAGTCCTTAAATCCTTGAGATATTCTTTAGGTTATAGAGGGCCGACTTTGTTCCCGTCTTTATGAGCCTCTGAAGGTTCAGGTCTGAGTCCTCACTGAACCCAGACTTAGAGCCTGATTGCTGCTTTCTAGCTTGATTAACTGAAGCTGGGTGCTAACTTATAAATCCTTTGATTCCATAATTAATTTTTGTTTCGATTCAGCTGAAGAAAATGTTGTCCCATCTATACTTCTATTTCTACTGTGTATTTACTCTGAGCTGTCATGGCTCCAATGTCACCTTGTGATGTCATTATGTACAGCTTCATATTGCTTGCAAAGATATGGTAACTTACGTTGATATTTATTGGATCTCCAATAAATACACATACACATAAAAAACACAGCAAAGTCCTTCATCATCTTTATAGTCGACAGGCTGCAGCCATGTCGCAAATTCCACATTTTTCAGCCACTTTTGTTGAAATTAGCATTTTGCCCATTCTCTTTCCCCTGCCTTGAGCTTCTTTTCCAAACATGCGGGTTTATGATCAACCGGAAGCAGGTCCACAAAAACACGCAGAACCAGCTAGATTTGATATATCTTACAATTGTTTTTAGAAACAAATTATTATTTTTTAAGCATTTTAAATTTCACAATAATCATATTGAATTAATTTTAATGCCAAATAAGGCCTTGATTTAAAAAGAATTATAATTGAATGACTTTAATGATTTTTAATGACGCGCGGAAACCCTGTAGATATTAAATATGAGGGTTCCCTAAGGCCGGGCATACTGTATGAATTTTTTTTCTTTTTCGGGCCGATTCTCTAGTCGTGCTAGAATCTTTGATCGGGCGGAGTGTAGTATACAGGAGGTAATGAGGGACGATCAGCCTCTCAGAACTACCTCCCGATCAGGAATCATAAGGTTGGGAGAAAATCAAACATGTTTGAAATTCAGTCAGCCGTCATAACATTTCATCAGAGCGTCGGGCCGCACAGTGTGAGAACATGCATCATGAGCTGCGAACGTTTAAACCCTGCAATGTTTTTGTACAATTCAAGCTGTAGCTGCGTGCAACGATTGAAGACATCGCACAGTATATGCCCTGCAAATGGGAAATGCCACATTTGATATTTTATGGTCTCTGATGTGAAGTTACCTAATGACACAAAAATATTGAAATAGTGATGGGTCCAGCAGCCCCGATGCATCGGTGCACACATGGAGCCCATAGTGCAAAATGCTCTATCAGAGTGCGTTGTTACAGGAGTTGTTTCAAACTGACTGACACAATAAACTGTGTTTAAAAACATCTTTTAGCATCTGCTAAAAAAAATTATCAAGAATTTTAGAGCAGCCTTAAACGTTGTGTTTTTATTTTAATTTTCTTATTGTGTCATCCTTTTCCTCTCAGTTATCGCTCAACTTATCTGAATTAAAGTTCATTTCAAACTGACTCTTAGTTAATTTACTGTTTTTACAATACTTACCGTTTTAAAATTATGACTTAAAATCCTATTCCACAAGCATCCTCATTCACATTTTCCCCTAAATTTTTACATTATGATAAATGCTTCAATTATTTATAGGCTGCATCTAAAAATATTAAAGATATTTTCAATTTAAGCACTGATATGAAATAATCCAATTTAACTTACAATAACTTAAATGATATCATCGTATTAGGTCATCAAATCAATTCAGTTTAGCCTGTCAAATAAGCTGCCTGTAGTGTCTTTAAAGGTCCAGCAGGTGTCAGTATTCTGTGAGAGAGTATCAAGGCTGTATTAATTCAGTTTGGTAATGTATCGAAACGATTCAAGATGCCTCATTAATGCATCACTGGATTTAAACCAGTAAAGTTCTGGATCAGAAAGGTAATCCCAGTTTTCCAGGCGCTCTAAGTAAGTAGAGTGATCAGCGTTGGCAAACACTGCATGTCACTGAACACATTGACAAGGGTAGTCTCAACACTTTGGTAAACATAGACGCCTTCGCTGGAAGACATTAAAGCATCAACGCGATTACAACAATGCCTTTAAAATTCTGCCTTGAACTTCTTATTTACAGACCAAATTAAACACCAATGCCAGCTGTTGGGGGCAGTTAATAAACCATCCTGATGTGTACTTTTGTTAAATGTTCATTTAATGAAGAAACCAATTAGTTTCTGTCTTCATGAGAAGTGAGCAGGTTGTTGCTCCACCAAAGGGCCAGACACACTTATTCTAGATGCTTTTCATACCACATTATGCACCGATGTCACTTATCTGATCAAAATGGATATATAAATGTCCACTCTGAGGTAACTGATTAATGCCAGTAATAACTGCAGGACCTCCTTTTCTGTTGTACCTGCAGCAAAGTCTTTGCAATGTCTGGGTTTTCGGGGCTGTCAAAATGTAGCATCTGGGAACCCAGGCCATAGTAGTAGGGCCCCATCTTATGCAGGTCCACCACGTTGGGATCAGCTGAGAACACCGTCCTCCAGCCCTCTTTGTAGACTTTAGGAAGCTCCACAGTCAGCACCTTCCTCTTCCTCTCATACAGACCCTTAGAGAGCCACAGAGGAATCTCCATCTTTGTACCCTAAAAGGAAAGAACATTTTGGAGCTATTGATAATGAAAAGACAACCTTCCAGTACTTTCTAATAAACACAAAATAATCTACTTCCATTGTTTGTAACGGCGAGAGGAACAGGCATCAAAGACCAATGACATGGACCAACCGCTGAGAGCAAAGGCATTAACCAATGCAGCATCTACATATGCAACATAGACATATGGTGCTTAGACATGTGCTATATAGACATGTGCAACATAGACATATGGTGCTTAGACATGTGCAACATAGACATATGGTGCTTAGACATGTGCAACATAGACATATGGTGCTTAGACATGTGCAACATAGACATGTGCAACATAGACATATGCTGCTTAGACATATGCAACATAGACATATGGTGCTTAGACATGTGCTATATAGACATGTGCAACATAGACATATGGTGCTTAGACATGCAACATAGACATATGGTGCTTAGACATGTGCAACATAGACATGTGCAACATAGACATATGCTGCTTAGACATATGCAACATAGACATATGGTGCTTAGACATGTGCTATATAGACATGTGCAACATAGACATATGGTGCTTAGACATGTGCAACATAGACATATGGTGCTTAGACATGTGCAACATAGACATGTGCAACATAGACATATGCTGCTTAGACATATGCAATATAGACATGTGCAACATAGACATATGGTGCTTAGACATATGCAACATAGACATATGGTGCTTAGACATGTGCTATATAGACATGTGCAACATAGACATATGGTGCTTAGACATGTGCAACATAGACATATGCTGCTTAGACATGTGCTATATAGACATGTGCAACATAGACATATGCTGCTTAGACATATGCAATATAGACATGTGCAACATAGACATATGGTGCTTAGACATATGCAACATAGACATATGGTGCTTAGACATGTGCTATATAGACATGTGCAACATAGACATATGGTGCTTAGACATGTGCAACATAGACATATGGTGCTTAGACATGTGCAACATAGACATGTGCAACATAGACATATGCTGCTTAGACATATGCAATATAGACATGTGCAACATAGACATATGCTGCTTACACATGTGCTATATAGACATGTGCAACATAGACATATGGTGCTTAGACATGTGCTATATAGACATGTGCAACATAGACATATGCTGCTTAGACATGTGCAACATAGACATGTGCAACATAGACATATGCTGCTTAGACATGTGCTATATAGACATGTGCAACATAGACATATGCTGCTTAGACATGTGCAACATAGACATATGCTGCTTAGACATGTGCTATATAGACATGTGCAACATAGACATATGCTGCTTAGACATGTGCTATATAGACATGTGCAACATAGACATATGCTGCTTAGACATGTGCAACATAGACATATGCTGCTTAGACATGTGCTATATAGACATGTGCAACATAGACATATGATGCTTAGACATGTGCTATATAGACATGTGCAACATAGACATATGGTGCTTAGACATGTGCAACATAGACATGTGCAACATAGACATATGCTGCTTAGACATGTGCTATATAGACATGTGCAACATAGACATATGGTGCTTAGACATGTGCAACATAGACATGTGCAACATAGACATATGCTGCTTAGACATATGCAATATAGACATGTGCAACATAGACATATGCTGCTTACACATGTGCTATATGGACAAGTGCAACATAGACATATGGTGCTTAGACATGTGCTATATAGACATGTGCAACATAGACATATGGTGCTTAGACATGTGCAACATAGACATGTGCAACATAGACATATGCTGCTTAGACATGTGCTATATAGACATGTGCAACATAGACATATGCTGCTTAGACATGTGCAACATAGACATATGCTGCTTAGACATGTGCTATATAGACATGTGCAACATAGACATATGCTGCTTAGACATGTGCTATATAGACATGTGCAACATAGACATATGCTGCTTAGACATGTGCAACATAGACATATGCTGCTTAGACATGTGCTATATAGACATGTGCAACATAGACATATGCTGCTTAGACATGTGCTATATAGACATGTGCAACATAGACATATGCTGCTTAGACATGTGCAACATAGACATATGCTGCTTAGACATGTGCTATATAGACATGTGCAACATAGACATATGCTGCTTAGACATGTGCTATATAGACATGTGCAACATAGACATATGCTGCTTAGACATGTGCAACATAGACATATGCTGCTTAGACATGTGCTATATAGACATGTGCAACATAGACATATGATGCTTAGACATGTGCTATATAGACATGTGCAACATAGACATATGGTGCTTAGACATGTGCAACATAGACATGTGCAACATAGACATATGCTGCTTAGACATGTGCTATATAGACATGTGCAACATAGACATATGGTGCTTAGACATGTGCAACATAGACATGTGCAACATAGACATATGCAAAATAGACATGTGCAACATAGACATATGCTGCTTACACATGTGCTATATGGACAAGTGCAACATAGACATATGCTGCTTAGACATGTGCTATATAGACATGTGCAACATAGACATATGCTGCTTAGACATGTGCAACATAGACATATGCTGCTTAGACATGTGCTATATAGACATGTGCAACATAGACATATGCTGCTTAGACATGTGCTATATAGACATGTGCAACATAGACATATGCTGCTTAGACATGTGCTATATAGACATGTGCAACATAGACATATGCTGCTTAGACATGTGCAACATAGACATGTGCAACATAGACATATGCTGCTTAGACATGTGCTATATAGACATGTGCAACATAGACATATGCTGCTTAGACATGTGCAACATAGACATATGCTGCTTAGACATGTGCTATATAGACATGTGCAACATAGACATATGCTGCTTAGACATGTGCTATATAGACATGTGCAACATAGACATATGCTGCTTAGACATGTGCTATATAGACATGTGCAACATAGACATATGCTGCTTAGACATGTGCAACATAGACATATGCTGCTTAGACATGTGCAACATAGACATATGCTGCTTAGACATGTGCTATATAGACATGTGCAACATAGACATATGCTGCTTAGACATGTGCTATATAGACATGTGCAACATAGACATATGCTGCTTAGACATGTGCTATATAGACATGTGCAACATAGACATATGCTGCTTAGACATGTGCTATATAGACATGTGCAACATAGACATATGGTGCTTAGACATGTGCTATATAGACATGTGCAACATAGACATATGCTGCTTAGACATATGCAATATAGACATGTGCAACATAGACATATGCTGCTTAGACATGTGCAACATAGACATATGCTGCTTAGACATGTGCTATATAGACATGTGCAACATAGACATATGCTGCTTAGACATGTGCTATATAGACATGTGCAACATAGACATATGCTGCTTAGACATGTGCTATATAGACATGTGCAACATAGACATATGCTGCTTAGACATGTGCAACATAGACATATGCTGCTTAGACATGTGCTATATAGACATGTGCAACATAGACATATGCTGCTTAGACATGTGCTATATAGACATGTGCAACATACACATATGCTGCTTAGACATGTGCTATATAGACATGTGCAACATAGACATATGCTGCTTAGACATGTGCTATATAGACATGTGCAACATAGACATATGCTGCTTAGACATGTGCAACATAGACATGTGCAACATAGACATATGCTGCTTAGACATGTGCTATATAGACATGTGCAACATAGACATATGGTGCTTAGACATGTGCTATATAGACATGTGCAACATAGACATATGGTACTTAGACATGTGCAACATAGACATGTGCAACATAGACATATGGTGCTTAGACATGTGCAACATAGACATGTACAACATAGACATATGCTGCTTAGACATATGCAATATAGACATATGCAACATAGACATATGCTGCTTACACATGTGCTATATAGACATGTGCAACATAGACATATGCTGCTTAGACATGTGCTATATAGACATGTGCAACATAGACATATGCTGCTTAGACATGTGCAACATAGACATGTGCAACATAGACATATGCTGCTTAGACATGTGCTATATAGACATTTACAACATAGACATATGCTGCTTAGACATGTGCAACATAGACATATGCTGCTTAGACATGTGCTATATAGACATGTGCAACATAGACATATGCTGCTTAGACATGTGCAACATAGACATATGCTGCTTAGACATGTGCTATATAGACATGTGCAACATAGACATATGCTGCTTAGACATGTGCTATATAGACATGTGCAACATAGACATATGGTGCTTAGACATGTGCAACATAGACATGTGCAACATAGACATATGCTGCTTAGACATGTGCTATATAGACATGTGCAACATAGACATATGCTGCTTAGACATGTGCTATATAGACATGTGCAACATAGACATATGGTGCTTAGACATGTGCAACATAGACATGTGCAACATAGACATATGCTGCTTAGACATGTGCTATATAGACATGTGCAACATAGACATGTGCAACATAGACATATGGTGCTTAGACATGTGCAACATAGACATATGCTGCTTAGACATGTGCAACATAGACATATGCTGCTTAGACATGTGCAACATAGACATATGCTGCTTAGACATATGCTGCTTAGACATGTGCTATATAGACATGTGCAACATAGACATATGCTGCTTACACATGTGCAATATAGACATGTACAATATAGACATGTGCAATATAGACATATGCAACATAGACATATGCTGCTTAGACATGTGCAATATAGACATGTGCAATATAGACATGTGCTGCTTAGACATGTGCTGCTTAGACATGTGCAATATAGACATGTGCAACATAGACATATGCTGCTTAGATATGTGCAATATAGACATGTGCAATATAGACATGTGCAACATAGACATGTGCAACA